TTAGAAAAGTTCCTCTTTCGTCGGAGCAATCTTAACATTTAAAATAAAAATCATGCCGTTTTGTAATATCATTACATTTTTTTTTTTTTACATTGTTTCTTTACATTCTTTTGACCAGTTCCACTCTTTGTTCCTGAGAGAGAGAAATACTAAGGGAGCACAAGCAGAAGCAGCGGATCCAACAGGCTTCGATTTCTACCAACATGTTTACAAATTCCCCAGTTATCAACAGTCTCGGCTCTGGTTCGGGGCAGAGCCCGGCGCCGGCAGCCACGCGCCGCCAGGCTCTCCTGCCTGCCCGGCTACTGTTTCGGCATGGTGAAGTCCCAAGCCGTCTCCTGAGCGCATTTCCACATGGCCCGCATGAGCCGCGTGAAGCCCATGTCTTTGGGTTTCTCCAAGCCTCTCATGAGCCGCTGCTTCATAATGGCGACAAACTCCTTGTTGCTCAGCTCTCCGTTCCCTAGGAGGAGAACAAAAATTATTAGAGACATAAAACCCCACAAACTCCCTTCCCGCTCGCATACGCGCTAATCCACCTGCAATGCAGTTTCCGAACTGGGAGAAACCTGCCTCCCCACAGGATCGATCGCCCCAGGCTGGACAAGGGCAGCACAGATTTCTTCCTCAGGGTCGTCTTTGCAGCAACCGCAATCTGAGCGTCCCTGCCGCGACCGGCCTTTGCCCAAAAGCGTGAGCGCGCAGGGACAGACGTGGCCTCCCTCGCCCCCGTGCGCCGCGAGCAAGCAGCCATGATATTTGCAGCGACAAGTTCAACACACTTGGCTTCAGGAGCGCCGGGGTTTTCACAGCGTCAGTAGAAACCTCAGCGAGGGCAGCACGGACGAGGCACGACGTACCGCCGGCATCCGCGCCGCAAGGGTGGACGCCGTGCAACGGGGGGGTTCACGTTTCCCTGAACCAACCTGTCACCAAAAGCCTTCCTTGGGTAACTCTCCAAATCAGGCCTTCGTAAGGGGAAGACCTGGCTTTCCCAGGGAGTTTTGGGCGAGCTTTACGCAGGGGGTCACACTGAGCAAGGGTCACCCAACCACAGCGTCTAACCGCCTTCCTGCAGTCACTGCCCTGCTTAGCCCACCAGCACGCCGGGTCCCCCATCAGCTCCGCAAACCACAGAAACGTTAGCACTTGGGTTGTAAGGACGGAGAAGCCAACGGGAAGACAAGCCCAGGGACACCACGCGAAGGAAAGCTCTCCACTTCGGGCGCTTCATGAAACGCCATGAGTGCAGGGTACCCGAGCACAGGTTTTCTCAACGGAGGAGAAGGGAAGATTCATTAGAGCGACAGGAGGTTATCGAGAATTATGTCGGTGTAATTTATACTAAAAACAAGGTCACAACACATTGGAACAAATATCCCACAGTCACTGGCCCACCAATAAGCTATGGCCTCCGGGATTTCTATTCAGAGCCCTGGGAGATGAGAAGGGACGAGCACCCACCACCTTCCTGGAGGAAGCCAAGCTTTCTACCAGGTCGGTCTCGCTAACCCTACGGTTGTTTTAAGCAACCTGTTCACAAGGATCTCTACCAGTTTCCTCTGGCTTTGCAGAAGCCAGGGCGCACGCACCTGAGCACGTTTCCGTGTTAAGGCATTCAGTGCCAGTCCCTCCAACCCAAACTGGATGGAGAGGCATCTCTCTCCACACTAACACCCCTTCCCCTACTCTTCTTTAAGGGCTATAGGGGCAAATAGTCATAGCGGCTCTCATCTCCCCTTCAGGCTGCCCCCAAGCAGGTTACGGCATCGATTTTCCCCTCTCTGGCGGGTTAAACGTTGCCTTTTTTGCTCTCCTACCCATGGCGCGCATCTGCTACGGCTGATTTCAGCCTCTGAGTAGCGTCATAGAAAAAGCAACCAAACTATGTGAAGGGGAACGGAGGTCGGGGGAACGTCATCTCAAAATAACCCTGAGACCTCTCCTTCACTTCTGTGCTTTCCCCGCACTAAAATTAAGTATGCACTGAGAAATAAGGCACTTCAGTCCTTCAAAAAAACAAGCCCATCAGTTCCCCAGCTTCCCAGATCAAAAGAGACAGCACCATCTCTCTGGCCAGTACTAGGAACCGCATCAGTTATATTTAATGAATGAGTTTTTTTAATTTAAGGTTTTTTTTTTTTCCCCTGCATTACTTCCAAATGCAAATCTGGGCAGTGAAATTCCAGCAAATTATCACGAGGTGAGTAAAATTCCCTCTGGCTCTGCAGGTCTTTGATGTGTGAATAGTAATGGCTACAAACACTGACAGAGTGAAACCAAATAAAGAGGTCTGTGACTGCTTTTCCGCTTTATTCCTTCCTTTCCAGGGGCTTCTCTGACAACCACAATCTTTCCCTCTAAAGGTTTGCTATCAAAACATTTAGCAGATTGTCCTACGAGAGGATGCAAACTGAGAACACTTGGATACCCCTCAGTTCACGCTCATCTCCAAGCGGATCATCTGGTTTTGAGGATCTAATCAGAAAATGGCCCTGGACTATAGAGAAAAATAAAATGAAGATGCAACTTTACTTTAAAATGGTGCAGAGAAGCAGGTAGGGCTGACACCAAGAGCGACTACCCACAGCAAAGTAACTCAAGAGATGGGCGCTTTCTTCCAGTATATTTAAATCAGCAAGCAAACAACGGTTTGCTTATGCAGCACTGCTGCAGCAAAAGAAAAGAAATTTCGGGAAGATGCCGTAAGCCAGCAAACGTGCTGGACAGCCAGGGAAGCAGCGAGGTCACTCGACAGTTTTGGACAAATGCAGAATTTGGCTTCTCGCAGCCAACGAGTATCCTTCTCTCACATCCGCCAACGTGCTTCAAAAAACTGCGGCTTGCTGTGCCATCAGCGGGTGCAAGAGGCCAAGTGCCATCGGAGCAATGGCAAGAATCGGTTTTGAGGGAAGGATTTTTGGCCGGAGCCCTCCGCCAGATCGGCGGGCGCAGCTCGGCGGTGCTGCCCGCAGCCCCCTTAGACAGCAGGGTGGCATCACAGCGGCACACGTGCGGCACCAGCTCCCTCGCTGAAAGGCTGCTGTCGGCACCTCTTACTCAGGACTGCACGGAGAGGCCTCTTGCTGCAAGGTGGCACTGCACAAGGGAGCTGAATAACACGACAATCATCATTGGAGCCCCCAGACCCATAGGAGCTCTCTTACTACTGGTTTTCAACTCCCGCTCTTGAAGTCCACATCATCCTCTGACGCTGAAGACTCTGCTAGCTCTCATTAAATCAACCCGAGATGGCTTCAGCGTGGTACCTCGGCATTTGCTACCCCGGTGTGCTTTCGGCCTCTGCAGGCCAGCAAAGCCAGCTGTTGGGAGCAAACTTCCCAGCAGGGCACCGAGCTGCCGTTAATTAAGTGGCTTTTGTACAGGGCTTTGGCAATACGGAGTGCCAGATAGGCTAATTTCCAACACTAGGACACAATAGCTCCTTTTTTTCAATGTAAGAGTTTCTCGGGAGAGCAGACAAGTTGTTTTGTCTCTGCAGTAAGCTTTCCGCTGTGTTGCTTTATAAGCAACACATAGGGACATATAGGCAACATATAGGTAGCTGTGCACCGTCAGGTGCCCTTCCAAGGAAGGCAGGGACATTGAGCACAAGCACAGCCCAAGGCGCCAGCGGTGACGCAGCGCAGGACGACGCACAAGGCCACGAAGACATGGGCAATGCGAGTGCAGACAACTGAAAGTCTGTTCTCCGTCTCCAGACAACAGAGCTGAAGAGCAGGGCAAGAAAAGTCAACTAGGTGAAGAGAGGGTGAAAACAGTCTTCTAAATTTCATCTTAAATTTGGTCTGTCTCTCATGACTGATTTCAACTTTTTAAGAGTATTTCTCTGCTTTAGCTGATGCAAAAAGAGCAACAAAAGTATCTTAAACCTCTGGTAGTGATATGAGCTTGCCTGAGAGGTTGTGGAGTCTCCATCCTTGGAGATGAATTCAAGAGCCATCCGGACAGGGTCCTGGGCAACCTGCTCTAGGTGACCCTGCGTGAGCAGAGGGGTTGGACTAGATGATCTCCAGAGGTCCCCTCCAGCCTCAACTGTTTGTGATTCTGCGAACACAGCCCCGCACACGCTTTCCCGAGAAGGAAACATTTCTGATGCAGCCAAATCCCAAAGAGCGCTCCAGACGACTTTCACGGCTATCACTTTTTCTCTGTATTTTGTCACCTGGATAAACTCTCGCCCACGTGGGCAGCGGACACGGCGAGGCTCGGGTCACTCACCGTCGCAGTCGAAGAGTGCGAACACCACGTCGCACACGTGGTCGGAGAGCTCCACCTTCGCCACCGTCCTGGCCACCTGCTGCATCGTCACTGCGAGGGAAGCAAAGGCACAACGTTAGCGCAACGCCGCAGCCCGCCGGGCGCAGAAACGCTGTTCCTCCGCGGGAAACGGCCTTTACAAAAACAGGCGCTGCTCAAAGAGGCTTGAAATAAGGTGTCTCCCCAGCCTGTCCAACACACGCCTCCAAACTGGGCCCCTCAAAGCCGTTGCTTTGTAAGGCAACAAGGAACAGCGGGTGGAAAGGGCGCTTCAGGCAGCGAGCACTGAAGCCTGTTAGCTTTGTGTTCAAGTAAAACATTCAAGATGCTTAGATGGGAATTTTTTTCCACCCTTTGGCTGCAAAATCAGAAGTCGTCAGCTCGGGACTACAGTAAACACCAGGTGGGAAACGTCTAACTTCTCCTGATGGGCTTGATGGAGAAGGCAGCTCCTTTCAAGTGTTGCGAAGACAGTACTCTATAAGACAACTGTTTTAATAGATTGGGGGGAGGGGGAAGACGTGAAGGAAGAACAGCTCAGTTATTTTTTTGCCAGCATTGAAGCATCCTGCTCCGCTTCCCCGTTCCAATCAAAGCGCCGTTTTAAAAGAGAGCTTTAAAGAGCCGCCATCGGCCGGGCGACGAGTCGGGCAGCCGGACACCCGCCTGCTAGAACCGCGCTTGATAACACGGAAGGGTTTTTGCATCGGTACATCCTAATTTGTGCCCTATTTGGCTGAGGGAACGGGAAGATAACATCGCCGAAGGGTGCGCTGGGGGCATCTATCAGGCAAAAACGCCAACAGCCAACCTGCACGGTCTCATCCGTGAAGGTAAGGCAGAAATTCTGGGCTCCAGCCTGGGGCTTTACTTGACAACAGCGTCGTTGAGGGTTTTATAGGGTTCGCCGTCCCAGGAAGGAGTCTTGCCGCCTCCTCCGCTCGCCCGCAAAGCCCTGGCAGCCTACAGTACTTGGCAGCGTCTACGGAAACACGCCGCTCTTGGCACAGTTATTAGCAAAAGGAATTTCCCAACCAATTCCATAGCAACACCACGACAGCCCCGGTGATACCGCAACAGCGCCGAAACCACCCTCGGGGCCTAAATCGGAGCAGGAAACTATGTTTATAGCAGAACTTCTGTCAATTTCATTAGAGAATAAGGGAATTTTATATTAAAATCGAGGACGGTGATGGCACACAGAGCAAAGATGGGAGAAGAGAGTCTGGGAAGAAGAGTAACAGGATTTGTCTTTTTTTGCAATCGCTTTTTTTTTTTTTTTTTTTTTTTTTTAAAGAGAAATCTAGCAACCCTCACTAATGAAAAAACATATTTTTGCAATTCTAAATTGTTACTTTCCAGCGATGTAAATCGATAGTTTGCAAAGAGCTGAACGAATGGAAAGTTGGCACCAAAACAGTGCAAATGAAGGGAGATGAACGCAGCCAAAACACGTGTGATCTCGGAGCGCCGCTTCAGCCGAGCAGTCGAGAGAAGTGGCGTGACGCAAAAATCAAACTGAAACAACAAAAACACGCCTCTGCTTTCACCCGCAGCATGTTTCTTGCACTGTTCCCCTACTGCAGAGCTATTGGCCTTTCAGAAATTGTGGAGAGCGTTGTGTCAGTGGTCCCTCCAAGTCCCCTTTCTCCTTTCCTCCTTGCCTCCGGCCTGAGCCTGCGCACGGAGGTCCATCCAACAGCGGTCTGTCCGACCGCCAGCGGCGCACGGAGAAGGGGACCCGCTGGTGCTGGCAGATGGAAACCGCCTCCCACGGCTCTGCGGAGAGCCCTACCGAGAGCCAGCCGGATGGCAGGACACCCTGCCCCACGCGCAACGGAAGGGGGTGAGAACCTGGAGAACCAGGGAGACCGTGAGGGGCATCTGTCTCAGAGATGAGTGACTTTCCCCAGACACATGTTGCAGATGCCTTTCCCCAAAAACGAGCAAAAGCCTGTCCGGGCCCGAGCGAGGCTGGTTACGCACCAGGCCAGGCCAAATCCCCAACCTTGCCACCGGTCGCCTTTCCCTCGGGCTCTTGCACCCATAGCTCGAGGTGCTCCACGCAGGGATGGACGGCCAGGAACATTGAAGGCCCTTCAAGAAGTCCCCTCGTCTCAAAACGGCTGCTTTTAGCTGACCTCTCCTTGGACCGGCCCCTGCACAAAAGCACCAGCTGCTCCTCAAAGCCAGGAGAAGAATCAAAGCAACCTGCTGGTCCCCTCTGCT